CCCCGCCCCCGATTTTATCAATTGGGGAAAACCCGAACCCGAACCCGAACCCGATAAACACGGGTTTTTCCCGTCCAAATCGCGGCGGGGTCGGGCGGGGATCCCCGGGATATATATATATATATACTGAAAATCCTCCCTTCAAAAGTTTTTTGGCGAAACTTGAAAACCCTCCTTCACAAGTTTTTTGGCGAAACTTGAAAACTCTCCTTCATAAGTTTTCTGGCGAAACTTTGAAATCCTCCTTCGTATGACCTCTTTTTCATTTAAGGTGGTGACCCCTTCTATAGGTCAGATGATTCTTCTTATCTCAAGAGTCTCTATTTATTGACCTCAAATCCTAATCTTAAGAGAAGAAACAAATCTTTAAAATAAATACAATATATTTTAATTCTAAACAATATCATAAAAGAACCAATATATTTTAAAATCTAAATAATATCTTAAAGATTTGAATTTGAAAATTTTAATTGTTTTTCTAATAATATATGTGTGTACAAGATTTAGTTATAATCTCACTTAGGCATTTTATCTTTTAAGTTGTCTATTTCTTACATATATATTATTGCTCAATATCTAGGAATTGCTTTCATGATAAAGGTTAAGTACATTTATATTTTTTACTGTTGAAATTAAGCTGTAAAATATAAAAATATGTTAGATCGTCACATCTTTGAAAAAGAATTAATGTATACTTATTTTTATAAAATGTTTAACTATTGGGTGTGAATTTTTTTTTTGGGTTTTAAACGCATCAAAAGAAATTGTTTTCATCATGATATTTCAACTTCTGTGAATTTATTTCTCCCATTCTCTTTCCCCACTCCCTGTAACGACCCATTGTGGTAATTACACTGTGTGGACTCATTACTACTAATAGCGAAAACTAAATTACTAGAACGTACAAGACTAAGGGAAGAAACATACCACACACACACACTGTTGCGGGTTGCATCAATTGTCCCGTGGCGGAGGCTAGGTGGGCCAAGTCACTGTCGAATCATGGCGCTTGGGCTGCTGCGCTCTTAAGTAAAAAGAGTTGCCCCCTGACTATCAGCTATAGCTTTTGGCCTAGTGGTAAGCGCTCGATCCAAAACACACACACACACACATATATATATATATACATGTATACAGTCGTCCTAAATAATTATACGTTCTAGTGTCGGTCAAGTACACGTATACAAGGCATATCAGTAGTACCGCCATCAAAAGGGATCACAACATCTGATGGAAATCTAATCCCCAAGGATCCCTTTGGAAGAGGTAAGACCAAGAAGGGTGAAGGTTGATCTAAGGAGTCTCCATTGTACATACTTGTATAGTTGATTTCTTGTACTTTGTATATGGTAGATACTTGTATAGGTATATTTTTGCCTTTGTATTTGTGAGGCACTTTTCTCCTTTTAGTATCTATTGTATATTGTTTCTAGGGTAGGTTACTTGAGCACTATGACTCCATTTAACCTAACCTAGAAATACATTCTTTTCTTAGTTTTCTAGTAGTAGGATTGGGAGTGGCATTAGCAAGCTAGAGAGTGCCATTAGCAAGCTAGAGAGTGTTACTAGCAATTTAGCCAAAAGGTGGTCCTAGGCTAAAATTTACATATTGGACTCATTTTACTCCTAATTTTTCATAGATTTGATTTAGCTAGGTTCCATTCACATTGGATGAACCTAACTAAACCAAATTATCAATTTCAAAACCGGTTGGAGTAAATTAAGTCCAAAGAGCCGCCCACCTAGATGTGTTCACACTTGTGTTCACACTTGGCCAAATAGCTTGGTTCTTCTCAAGCTTGGAAGCTTGAAGCACAAGCTTCTCCTTAGCTAGCTTACCAAGCAAGCTAAGTGAGAAGCTTGCACTTCAAGCCTCTTGACCTTGGACGGATTAGCTAGACCTTACCATGGTTCCTAGTGAACCATGGTTAAGGCTAGCTTGCTCTCCAAGCTTCCTACTCCTATATTTTCGTTTTTCCTTCATTGTAAAACACTTTTGGATGTATTGAGATTTCATTTCTGAAATATTGTTCAGATTTCTCTCTTCTAAAAGTCCCTAAACCTCTTTGATATTCATCCAATTCTCTTATCCCTTCACTAGAAGAGTGTGGCGAGAATTGAAGAGGCTTATCTCTTCATCAAGGAGTGGCGCCTCTTGGGAGAGTTCTCCACCAAACCTTGGTGGTTCTAAGGCCTCCTCCTCCATAGGAGACCTTAGCCAAGCTTAGGAAGGATCAAGGAGCCGAAGATCTAGGGAGGAACTTGAAGAGGATTCACATCAATCCGGATTCTCCAAACAAGTTTCCATCAACATCTGTCCTCAATAGCTCCTCAAATCCAAGCCCTATTCTACTCCCATACAACGTATGATCATCGCAGTCCAAACCACCATGGAAACAGAAAGGTAAACTAGAGTTGAAAAATATATACATATAGAAAGCAAGTCTATAATATACAACATCACGCCATATATCATACATGAAAGCTAACACATTCGAAGTAGCCATGTACCTCATCCAATCATTTCCCACAAAAAATCAACAATGCACATGAACACACCTCAATCATACATCATATGCAAACAAACCAACCAATGAATCGTCACGCATTCACCTATGGAGATCTCCTAACAACATGAGTAGTCTACCAAACCAACCTGTGAATAACAAATTTTATCTGAGAATATTTTGAATAAAAAGAAAAAACATAACAAAATATGTGAGGGGATAAGTCAGTTAAGCGGGAGAAGATAAGGGATTGACATTGTCAAATATTTAGTTGTAACTGAAGAGATAAGGTTGGTCAAGTAGTGACATAAAAATAGGAGATAATGGGATATCTCTTGCTACAAAGGTGGACTATATGCGGTTACAAATACCACTAGCCAACATTAGAAAAGGGGGGAGAGGAATGAAGGAAAAAGAAAGCAAAGACAGAGGAAAAAATAAAGCATTGACGAGAGAGTTAATGATTAGTAAAAAAAGGTTTTGCATTGCATTTAGAAATTGTAGTACTTGTTAAGTCAGACGAAGTAATTCCCAACAAGGTTTTGAATATGAAAAATATAATACATATTGTTGTGTAGTAGTGTTTCAGATATATATAAGAACAGGAAAAACTAAAGCATGAAACAAGGTCGCGCAAAACTAGACCAAGACAATGTTGGCTCAGCACCAAATAAACATCAGATGAAGCTCAATGGTCAACCACATAAAAGTCAACAAAATAATCATCAGTCGTTGGATAACACACTACTATAATAGTCAAATTTGATTACAAGTACGTTGTTTACTGTATGATATATAACATACAATATACTTATTTGAATTAATTAACAGTCATAAAATGATAAGGTGTTCCACGCGTTGTATAAAGCGGCGCTGACAATAAGCATGATTAAAATGATTAATGAGGAATCTGTCTTATTTAAATAATGGGAAATACTCCCTGCGTGCACCACCACGGGGATTAAGGTGTGGTGGCATTGTTGCATTAGTAAAGCATTGAATTAATGTGCCCGTGCCATGTATTCATCGATTGTATGGTCCTGTTCTCATTGCTTTGCTTGTTTGTGAAGCAAAATTAGAATGATGAACTTTAATCCACGCATTAGTGACGTCATTATTTGTCAGCAATATATATAATACTATTATTGGGATTCACTGCTATAGTTGAAGCGTAGAAAATGAGACAACATATATAATACTGTTATTGGGTAGTAGTAGAATTGTGGAATGCAATTTATACATCTATTTTATTTTTTAAAAATACCAATTAGAGGGCAAAAATTTTAATGCACATGTATCACTATTTATTTATTTTAATTATAGTCACTAGTACATAAAGGGTCTTTTATATCGGGTATTTTGAGCCTTTTACGTCGAAAAAGGTTTTGACGTTAATATGGGAGACGTAAATTTACGTCGCCTCTAAAACGCGACGTAAATTTACATCGGATATTATCCCAGCCCGACGTAAAAAGGGACAAAAAACATGCCATAATTTTACGTCGGACATGGCTTTGTCCGACATAAATTTACGTCGGTCATTGCAAGGCCCGACGTAAATTTACGTCGGACAAAGCCATGTCCGA